TTACAGGCTGAGCCACCGAGCCCGGCTTAATAGAGTTTTTAATAGCATAAAGCTCTCCTCCAAACCATGATCAAGGCTTCTTTCAGTTTGTGGTCCATAAGTATTTTTTCTTAAGCTTGATTTCTAGAGTTGGAACATTAAGCGTGTGTGTGTGTGTGTGTGTGTGTGTGTGTATGTGTGTGTGTGTGTGTGTGTTTAACCTTAGAACACTTTTAAATATAGTAAAATTTCCTTTTCAGTGTAGAATACCAAGAAGTGAGGGTGAAATCAAAACTTAGATTTCATAAGAAGCCAAGGAAAATTAACAAAGTTTATTATATTCTTGTGTGCTAAGATTCAGGTTTTGGCTCTGTAAATCAAGGGATGTGAACGGATTTTTCTTCTTGTATTTCAGTTTCTTCCCAATGCAAATGTTCTATAATTCTTCTGTTCCTATAACTGAGTTGTTATATCCAAAATGAAAGTGTATCTTCACTTTCAGAATCAAAGGAAAGCTTGTCCGTGACTTTCATCTTTTTAACGTCATTAAAATTCAGATGTATCCTTTTTTTTTAAGTAATAGAGAATGGGGAATTGTAGCACAGGAAGTCTAAAGGTCTTTATGAAATGGAAAGTGTTGAAAATCATTGTCATATTTTCCAGGAGAGAAGATTTTTTTTACTTAATCTACAAGTGTTTCCTGACAGGAGTATTTCTTAGAAGGAAACAACTGAGCTGGAACTTGTTCTTCTCGAAAACTAATGCCCATCGTTAAACTGGCTCGCAACACTTCCTGCATGCTTCTATCACACAGATTTATGAAAGATCAAATTATCTGTCAGATAATGAAAAATTAGTCACTTGAAGATTAATTAATCAATACGTGCAAATCGTACTAGAGATGATCAATGTTTTCAGAAAGACAAAGCATAAAACCTACCTAATTTGGTGCTTACTCCTTACCTTAGCTTTTAAAATTCCTCTTATGACAGTTTCTTAAACTTGTACAGTAAGGCCTCTGGGGATGTTATTGACATCAGCTTTCAAAATCATCTTATAGTCAGTTAATCTGCTCCCAATATTTTCAACCAAATTGTTAGCTTCCCTCTTTTCTTCCCTTTACTTTTTTATCTGGCTTCCAAAACAAATTCTGTACTCATTTATTTATTTCTTTGACATTTACATCAATTAAACTCACCATGTGACTAAGTTAGGCTCATTACATTACAAAATCTGATCGACTCTGCTTTCCTGGAAAAAGTCAAATCACAAACTAACTTATTCACATTTTGAAACCCACCTGTCTTCCTAAAGTGTTCTTGGAAATTTACTGCATAGAAAAATAAACAGATGGGCACCAATTTAAGTTAAATGTTCATCTACTTATTGATCTTTGAAGACTGCTATCTAAAAGCTTTTTTTTAACCTTTCCAACACTTACAATATGCCAAGCACAATTTTAGATAATTGAGAATTGATGGTGAACAAAAGAGACACAGATCTTATCCTTTAGGACGCTTATATGCCAGCAAGAGAATATGGACAACTGAACATAAACAGAATGCACAGGTACATGATATAGAATGCTAGAAGGTGCAAAAAGCTATAGCAGAGCAGGGTAAAGGGAGAGGAAATGGAGGTCTGGGCACATTGGCCAGGTTGCAGCCTTCTATAGGTTGGCCAGAGCACGTCTCATTAAGAAGATGAGATTTGAGCAAGGGTTGGAATAAAAGAGTGAGCGAACCAACGAGTATGTATGATTGGATGTTCCAGGCAAAGGATATAGCTAGAGAGAATGTCTAAGGCAAGAGAATAGCCAAGTAGAAAGTGGTGATGAGATGATGTCAAACCCTGCAGACATTGTGAAGACTTTGGCTTTTACTCCAAGTGAAATGGGGGAGAGAGGAAGTCATTGCTGGATTCTGAGTAAAGAAATGATGTGTTCTTATGCTTCAGAATAATCACAATTGATGCAATATTGAGAAAAGACCTTAGGGAAATAAGGGTAGAAACAACCCTGTGAGGAGACTGCATCAGCAATAAAGCCAAGATCTATATGAGAGCACTGGTGGATGTGGAATACAAAACAAAACAAAACAAAAAAAGAGAAAAGAATCAATGTTTTTATCAGTGTTCAGTCTGAGCAATAGAAAAGAGAGAGTGAGATGGGAAGCCTGAAATTATAAAAGGGTTTTAATGTGTAGCAAAACCAGGAACTGGATTTTGAAAATGCTGAATCTGATATGTAGACTAGAAAAATCAAACGGAGATGTTGAGTTGGCAATTGGAATACACGCATGTGAAGTGAAGTTCAGATAATAGATCTCAGCTATAGTTGTAAACTTGGGTATCATTACAATTTAGACGGAATTCAAAGCCATATGAATAAATAAGTTTACCAAGAGAATGAGTATAAATACTCATGAAAGATGATAAAAAGCTAAGTACCAAGACCTTCCAAAATTAAGAGATGGAAAAGTAAGGGGAACCAGTTCACGACATGGAGGAATAACTGATGAAATAAAAGGAAAGAAAAAGCGATACAGGACCCTGGCAGCCAAATGATGAAAGTCCAGCAAGAAGAGAGTGCCAATTGCGTAAAATCCTATTGACAGCTCAACTAAGATGAAGACTAAGAATGACCATGATATTTTATTACATAAATGGCCTACATATTCACAGAGGATATAGATATTGATTGTTTTCAGTTATTTGTTGCTTGGTCAAAATTAAAACCATACAAGAGAATTTGAAAGGTGGCAGAGGAGATTGTCTGAAAATAAGCTTTTTAAGGAAGAGTATGGTAGAGCAGAGAGCCAGATAACCACCAAAATCTAACAGTCATTCTTCTCTAACCACCAGACTTTGGACGATTCACTTTCTATCTCTAGGCCCATTTATTGTTTCTCCAAAGTAAGGAATGGTCCCTGCATCCCAGTACTTTCATGACTTGAAAATAAAAGAACACCCACAGTCTTACCACTTAGTAAAATGCTTTCACTCTTTAAATGTAATACACAGAGTTTAAAAATAAGAATTGCATATGTGCACTCTTAGTCACTTAATATTTGAAGTAAAGAAAATTGAGGGGGTAGAGATGTATCTGACAGACTCATGTCTATTTCCGATCAGTTGTTCATCTTTAGATGACATTTAGCTTTTTGATTAAACATATTAAATTTTCCAGGGCTACAAATGTGGCTTATATATTTCTCTATGAATAATTTGTACTTTCTCAGTTGCCTCTAGATCTGGTTAGCAAGGAAAAAACATTAATATTTCATCTAAAATGGTAAATTTAATCTATGTTATACTTTGAACTGTCAGTGTGGGTACACGTTCAATCTTATACTTTCATTGGATGATGTACTCAACTCTCAGATTTCTAGCCATTTCTCCATCTCTCCAAGAGGGCCCTTGGTGGAATGACGTGTATGTGGTTTATGAGGTGACTTGGCAACAGGAAGGTTATAGTGTCTTCAGATCATTAGAAGATTTTCTGCATCTTTGCTGGTCTTGAATGGAAGGACAATTCTGAAGGTGTAATACACGAGATATTGATGCCAGGATGTGGGCTCTTCTCAGCATTGGCTACCCAAACTAACAGCTGATCCTTTTTCTGACTCAGTTTGGTCAGAGCCAAGGAGTCTTTTATAATGATTTAGACTTACCTTTACTCACAGAGTAGCTGAGGAAACCCCCTAAGGTCTCACACAGTTCTAGCCAATGTGGTTCACCTGCAGCCCTTGGCTGTTGAAATACTTTGTCTCTGCCATGATCATAAACAACTCTGTGTGGCAAGCTCCCCCACTAATTCTCACTACAGTGCAAATTCCTGCATCAGAAGCAATAGGATTGATGCTACTTAGGGAGTGAGGCTAATTCAGGATATTGTATTTAAGAACGTCCCTGCCCAGTCTTGCTGTCTCATTGAATTTACTGCAGGTGGCCATTTCTAGAGTCCTAATGGTGATGAGGCAGAAGTCACTGTACCCTCAGTTTTGTCACTTTTCTCTCAGCATAGTTGGGGGGGCTCCCTGCAGATTGTGATCCAAAAGGAGGGGTTTAATAAACTGTCTGAGTTCCGACATAAGGAAGTTTAATGCCTTCCCTACCTCTTCTTCCCTTCTTGACCTTATCATCCTCAGGGTGGTCCTGTGTTGGTTAGCCCTCCTTCCCTCCTTTTGGACACAACTGTGTCTGTTCTTCACATGGTAAAGGGCTGGGAGTCAAACTGATTTACAGACTGTTCTCGCTGCACAAAGTCTGTATTCCATGACTATTTTGTTGTTGCATAAGTCCTACTTTGCAAGTCAGAGGTGAACTTTCTCTGTGCAGTTTTCCTCAATGTTAAATCCCATTCCTACCACCCACTGCCAAATAGTGGATGCTCAGTTTGATGGAGGATAGGATGCTGCACAGAGGCTTGGAAAAGTGAAAAAAAAAACACCTCCATGGCCTTCAAAGATTATCACTGCTACCATGCAAAAGTAAACCCAAAGAACCACATTTAAAAAGCAAAATATTGGCCAGGTGCGATGGCTCACGCCTGTCATCCCAACACTTTGGGAGGCGGAGGTAAGAGGATTGTCTGAGCCCAGGGGTTCGAGACCAGCCTGGACAACTTGGTGAGCCTTTGTCTCTACAATAAATCAAAAAGTTAGCCGGGCATGGTGTCGCATGCCTGTAGTTCCAGCTACTTGGAAGACTAAGGTGGTAGGATCACCTGAGCCCAGCAGGTCGAGGTTGCGGTGGCTGTGAGCATGCCACTGTACTCCAGTCTAGGTGACGGAGTGAGACTCTGACTCAAAACAAAAAACAAACAACAAACAAACAAACAAAAAACCCAACCCAAACCAAACCAAAAATATTCAATATATGGAAACCGTCTTACTCCAAGTAATGACAGAATGCCCCAGGAATGACTGAGTGTTCGGTGGTTCAAGGATTTTTGTCCCACCAGTTCCATACGGGTTGTCGAGTAAGAGCATTTACAAAAGAAACCTGTGCTTACTTTTCAGGGAACCAGAGAGGAAGGAAACACAGACCCTGTTAGTGCAGCTAAGGATGCGATAGTAACTAGAACCTGCTCTCCGTCGGGCCACAAAGACCCTTTGTGAAATGGGCTGTGGTGGTTCTGATGCGCCTTCCCGGCCGTGTGACGTTTCAGGTCCTGTGGGAAGCCTGCAGCAGAGGACGGGGGAACATAAAACCATGCTGCAGATGATCCTGTGCAACAAGAGTTACCAGCCGCTGTGGCTGGGTCATCGCTGACGGGGTTTCTTTCCAGCCATTCTGTGGTGTCCTCATACTCACTCGATGACAGGGTGAAAAGCAGGTAGTCACCTAGGAAAAAGGAGGACACGTCACAAAGACCGACGGCAGAGTCAGTTATCTCGCAGCACTGGCTTTGAGTTTTGTGTACACAGCATTGCCTCATTTAGTGACACTACTGAGGAACGACGCTTTCCCTGTTATTTCGTGTTTTCCAATAACTGAATTATGCAGATTTTTACATTTAAAAAATTTTCTGTTTCTGGTAAGGAACTTACTCAAATATAGTCGATATTTCCTAGTTACCAGCAGCTGTGGCTGGGTCATCGCTGACGGGGCTTCTTTCCAGCTATTCCATGATGTTGTAATACTCACTCGATTGTGTAATGAAACGCAAGTAGTCACCAGGGAAAAGGCGGACACGTCCCAAAGACAGACGGCAGAGTCAGTTATCTCAAAGCACTTGTTTTGATTTTTTTAAAGCACAAAATTGCCTCATTTAGTGACACTACCGAGGAATGACGTTTTCCCTATTATCTCATGTTTTCCAGCGATGGAATTATGTGAGTTTTAAATAAGGAGCATTTAAAAATTTTTCTGTTTTTAAGAAGGAACTTACTCAAATATATTAGATATTTCCTATGTTGTCTTGAAAAGTATATGATGGCATTGCAAGGTGGCTCATACTTGGAATCCTAGCACTTTGGGAGGCAGAGGTGAGAGAATTGCCTGAGCCTAGGCACCGTGGGGGAGATTTCATCTCTACAGTTAAAAAAAAAAATTAGCTGGGTGTGGTGGCACAACTGTAGTTCCAGGTACGTGGCGGAAGGATCACCTGAGCCCAGCAGGTCGAGGCTGCAATAACCATGAGCATGCCACTGCACTCCAGCCTGGGCAACAGAATGAAACGCTGACTCAGAAAAAAAAAGTATACAATGCACTTAATTTAACCAATCTATATGTGTTAAGGTCATTATTATTGATGAGATGATTTATGTGAAATTGAGTGTGCCTTATTGGTCTCAGAGAATGCACTCCTGTTGGTTTGCACTTTCCCCCAAACCATTGTACCTTATTTAAAAAAAACCATTTTTCTTCTTCTCTTTCTTTCTTTTTTTTTTTTTGAGTTGGATTCTCACTTTTGTCACCCAGGCTGGAGTGCGGCAGCATGCTCACGGCCACTGCAGCCTCCACCTGTTGGACTTAGGCGATCCTTCTGCCTCAGCCTTCCAAGTAGCCAGAACTACAGATGCATGCCACCACGTCTGGCTAGTTTTTTTGGGAGGGGGGGATTTATTGTAGAGATGAGGTCTCAACAAGTTGCCCAGGCTGGCCTCGAACCCCTGAGCTCAGGCAATCCTCTCGTCTCGGCCTCCCAAAGTGCTGGGATTACAGGCTGAGCCACTGCGCCCAGCCTTTTTCTCTCTTTCCTAGAGACAGAGTCTTGTTCTGTCCCCAGGCTGGAGTGCAGAGGTGCAATCATAGCTCACTGCAGCCTCAACTTCCTGGTCTCAAGCAACCATCTTACCTTCCTCGGTCTCTTCAGTAGCTGGGACAACAGGCATGTACCACCATGCTAGGCGGGTTTTTTTTTTTTTTTTTGAGATGGAATCTCACTGTGTTGACCAGGCTGGTCTCAAACTCCTGGGCTCAAGTGATCTTCCCACCTCAACTTCCCGAAGTGTTAGGACTACAGGTATGAGCTGTCACATCAGACCAAAATAACTTTTTTCCCTAAATAAAACACACAAAGTCTATAAAAATTTTTGAAAGATGATCACCCTAACCTAGCTTCCACCTCTATTCCTTATATGTCAGCTAGAGATAATAATAATAATAACAACAACAACATCTTCTTGTCTTTAATTTTCTGTAAGAATGGATGAGAACGAAAAGTTGCCTGGAATAAAGCCAGGTAAGTAAGTTCTTGAAATAAGGAAGCTTAATTTAGCACAAATCTAAGTTGTCGTACTATAGTCTGTGCCCCTACAGGTGATTTCATATTTCTTAGAGTGCTCTTCACAGATTTTACTACCACTATTTTATTTATCACTCAGAGAACTTTTAAACGTAATTTCCGTATTTAACCTCTGGTAGAGTGTTAGCTGTTGACATGAGTCTGGCTGACTATTACTATGTCCTAAACAAGTGGTGCATAGAGAATGACTGGATGATTGGTTGTGTGTTTCCCCTGACTTTAAGTCTGAAGTGAGCTGGGGGGTCCCATTAGATAGACATGGCAATTTTTTCCCAGGTCTCTGAAGTTCAAGATTTATGCTGAGTCTACTGACTTGGAATATTCGTATTTATTTCAAATAATAGTTATATCAAACATAACTGATAGTAGTCTTTTTAGTTATTTTAGAGACCGTCTTTTCCTTAGGTATAGCAATCTAATAAATATTTGTCCTTTCAATTTGTCATATTTACAAGATCTCCTTTAAATTATTTCAATTTGTCAAAGTTTTCCAGGAATTTCAAAATATCTCTGGGCAAGACATTGTAGATGCCATTAATGAATGTTATGACGGATATTTTCAGGAGCTGCTAGTTGCAATTGGTAAGTTAATATTTATCTGGAGTATAGCAGACCTTTTATTCCACAATCAATGCTGCCTGGATCTGACTGAATTAAAGGTACGTGAGTAGACTTTAATCAAATCACTGTCCCTGAATTGTACTATTTAAAAGGATGTAAACGCAACAGAGGAAGAATACATCAGTTGCTGATACAGTGTGTTAAACTGGCAGCCTGATGACTTTATGTATTTATTTTTTGAGTTGGTGTCTCACTCTTGTCGCCCAGGCTGGAGTGCAGTGGCACGCTCATGGCCACCGCAGCCTCGACCTGCTGGGCCCAGGTGATCCTTCTCCCTCAGCCTTCCAAATAGCTGGAACTACAGACACGCACCACCACATCCGGCTAGGTTTTGTGATTTATTGTCGAGACGAGGTCTCATCAAGTTGCCCAGGCTGGTCTTGAACCCCAGGGCTCAGGCAATCCTCTCGCCTCATCTCCCAAAGTGCTGGGATGACAGGCTGAGCCACTACAGGAGGGTTCGAGAGGTATGGCACTTTCACAATGGCCTAAAGGAATCACCACTAAGGAACAAGGTAAGTATCTTTTACCGTAGGGTTTATTCCCGCACACAAATGTATTAGGTGGTGACAAAAACAAAAACCAAGCCTTTTTCTGTAGGAAAGAAAGAAATCCCATGGCTGGTGTGTTTCTGCTTCTGAACAAGGACATGGAAGTCAGTAAGTATAAAACTGATCCAATAGTGTGAGAACCTAATTCCTGAGAGAGAGCATCTGGGAATTCTGTTTCCTCACATGAAAGTCGAAGCAGCTGTTAGGAAAGGGTGTCATTTCATTCAAGTCGGGCTCTCTCTCAGGATTTAGGTTCTCATACTATTGAATCAGTTTTATATTTACTGACTTCCATTTCCTTGTTCAGGAGCAGACACTAGCCAGCCATGTGATTTCTTTCTCTCCTAGAGAAAAAGGTTTGGTTTTTGTTTTTGTCACCTTCTCTAATACATTTGTTTTCAGGAGTAAATTCTACCATAAATGAGATTTACTTTGTTTCTCAGTGGTGATTTCTTCAGGCTATTGAGAAAGTGCCATTCCTTCCTAAATAAGAAAAGACACCCTTCTGCAGAGGGAAAAACAGCAATAGTTATTCATGAAAGCTACAATGGAAACACCTGTGCTTTATCTTGTGTCGTGCTGTGACTTGACAGCATACATTTCGGGGGCTAGAAAGGAAGAATCATAAAATATCCCCATAGCAAATATGTATCAAGTAGTCACTTAGACACTTGTTAAATGAATTTTGTGGCTTGTCGTTCCTAGAATGGCAGAGACATACATGGGTGTGAGAGCTAAGAAATAAGATAATTTTATAGATCGTCTAGCAAAGGAATTTTAAGCTAGGGTTCCATAAAAATGGTTTGGTGGAACACCTAAAATAGTCTGTGTCTGTATTTTTCTGAGAATAAGGTGCATCGATTCCAGTAAATTCTCAACAAAATTTAATAACTGTACGTCAAAACCCCTCATTTTACAAACAAAGCCTAGAGAGGGTGAGTGCTCCAAAACCTATCAACTTATGACCAACAGGTAAGACTAGAACTCATGTCAGAATCTCAAGAGCTCTCTTTCCACTCTCAACCCCTACTATGATGCAATGGGTAAGCAAGAGGAGATAGAAGACGTCAGAAATACCCAAAAACATTTTCACCGATTCGTTCATTCAATTAACATCTTTTGAGCATCTACTGTTCTGGCCACTGATTTAGGAACTGTGGATGGAACAGTGAAACAATGACAAAAACAACAGAAGTCCCTGCTTTCAAGGAGCAGTGACTAAAGAGTGATTATGGGGTTCACTGTAAGCTACTGAGAAACACCATCATGGTTTAATTTTGGCTAAAAGTTATAGACTCTCATACATTATTCATTCATGTATTGACTTGTGTACTTATTCAAATAAACACTATAGAATGTCTCCAATCATCAACTGATTTTCATCAAGGACAACTGTCAACCACGTTCTAGGTTGTTCTAATGCCACAGTGGTTTTGATTAGATGGCTTCAAAAACTGGTCTAGAGTTAGGGTTCATACAGTGTCTCCTTAAGAGACTTCGAATCTACTCACAAGTCTGTAAGAGACTAAAAATAGCACTTAAGATGAATGAATTACGTGAGGAAGACGTCACATTGAACCTTACAATAATAAAGATCTAAATAGTGATGAAACTGACATCTCTTTGAAGCTCTATTTATTTAATTTTCAGATAAAGAGGATACATTTTTTTCACTAGTATAGATGAAGGAACTAGCAGAAATAGAAAGTAATAGAAATAGACCAAGTGGGCTGGGCACAGTCACTCACGCCTGTAATCCCAGCACTTTGAGAGGCAGGGCGAGAGGGTTGCCTGAACCGACGGATTCGAGACCAGCCTGGGCAACATGGCAAGACCTCATCTCTACAGTAAATAAAGAAATTAGTTGGGTGTGATGGTGCACACCTGTAATTCCAGAAACTAGGAAAGCTGAGGTGGAAGGATCACCTGAGGCCAGCAGGTCGAAGCTTCGATGGCCGTGAGCATGCCACTGCACTCCAGCCTGGGCAGCAGAGTGGGACTCCTCCACCTAAAAAGAAAAAGAAAAAGAAAAAGAAAAAGAAAAAGAAAGAAGTAGACCGAGTGAAAAATCTCCATGATTAAAATATTGTTGCTTTGTAATTTTTTCTGTGGGTTATAGTGCTACCATTTTTCTAATTGTTGACGTTATAATGTGAGGATTGTAATAGAAAGAAAGATTCTCATTGTTTCTTAAATTCTGAATAAAATAAACATTGTTTCCCTTAATGTTTCTTTTCTCTCTGATTTCTCAAAGTTCTCTGTGTTCGAGACAAACCAGGTTATTTTGCCTGTAGATTATATAGTGCAATCCATGTAAGTAAGATCCATGTATTTTAAACCTTTCTCCTCAAATCGTGTCTGTATTTTCCAAGGACTGATTTAACTTTCACTATTTAAATATTCATTCCTATTTTTGAACTTGTATGTAAATACAGACATTTCAAAGAAAATATGCCCAAGTGAAAAAATGTGTTATACATCAAAAATAAGACCTATCAAATAAAAATTATGTTCTTCTTCCTGTACCAAATCTAGGTGCTTAAGTATGGCTCTTTGGGGTCTATCTCCCCCATATGTTTGTTGTGTATGTGTATGGTTGTTTTTTTAGCATTTGCAGAAACGGGTACATTCAAATGTTTTTGTTTATTTCCAAAGATCCTCACATCACACTTATGCAAGTGCAAAACACACGGCATCCAGCAGAAAATGTCAAATGTTACAAACTCTCAGGAAGAAATCGCTGTGTTCCCAAAGTTTAAAAACACAAAATAATGTCAATGGTTATTTTTAAACATCAAGTGTTATTTTAAAAAATTACTTAAAGGGATAACTAGACAATAGTAAACTCTAAATCTATTTTTTGTAATTAGAAGATAATTTTCTTTTTACTTCAGTGTGATTTTCAGTCACATATACTTTGAAGCATTCTTTTCAAATAAAAACAAGCACTTAAGTGCATCTCATACTGCACACCTTATCCAAACGTGCATGAAACCTACTTAGAAAAAGATCTCGGCCAGCTGCAGTGGCTCACGCCTGTAATCCCAGCACTTTGAGAGGCCAGGGTGAGAGGACTGCCTGTGCCCAGGGGTTCAAGACCAGCCTGAACCCATCTTCAGACTGCATCTTTATAATAAATCAAAAATTAGCCAGGCATGGTAGCACATGCCTGTAGTTCTAGCTGCTTGGAAGGCTGAGGCGGAAAGATCGCGGGAGCCCAGTGGATGGAGGCTGTGGTGGCCGTGAGCATGCCACTGCACTCCAGCCTGGGCAATGGAGTGAGACTCCGACTCAAAAAGAAAAAGATCTCATATACATCATTCTGTATATGTCATAGCCTTATAAGCTCAGAGAAAATTATAAAAAATCAAAAGTACAGTATTTTTAAGAATCAATTTTATCCTCAAAGTAATTTTTACTATTTCTTAAAGGCAGTCATTATGCTGGGAAAATACGCTAATAGTAAGAGTATTTTATTATATATGTTGTGCAAAGTATTTTTTAAAGTTTTTGCACAAGAAGAACTGTGTAACCTCAAGAAACAGGAGGAAGATCAATGTTCATTGTCTTGCTTCTCGTTTATTCTGTTTTCAAGGAGAAAAATTGATTTGGTTACAAATTTATTTGAAATATTGAGTAAAACTGGAGGATGATTGCAATAGTTTCTTTCTCCAAAAAACCAACCACTGCAACAGCGGAATGAAGCTTCACTTTAAAATAACGATGAAAAAAAAAATCACAATTACCTTGATACAAATTATGCTCAAATCCAGGGCTACTTATTCTAATAACAAATAAAAATGTTATTCTTGCTGTGTGTACATTAAAAGGCAAAAGAAAGATCTGCGTACTCACAAATGGCTTGGAGGTAAAGAGAAGGATTACACGTACATGTAATCAAATTTTTGAGGACCTTGAATGTTCAATATTTGTCAAAAAGCTGCTGTAACTACCCTTACCAAATAAATCTTCTGTATTTTTCTCAAGTGCATTCTAAGTGAATAATTTCCAGTTTCAATTTGGATACTTAGTTAGATCAATCATTTTAATAATCTCAAATTAGGAAAAGTTTGTTAGTAGACCTGAACCCAAACATTGACATCGAAAATTAGATTATGTTTTCTGGCCGCTAGATGTCACCTTTACTCCATTTGAAAAGGTAATTTGAAACTTTTTAAGCAGTAATATTTTGGGAGCCAGTACGTAGGCATTGATTTTGTATTTTAATTTAAATCAGAAATATTTGAAACACCTAGAATTCTAATTTTTGTAGCTTTTCAGTAGTGACCAGACTATAAAGTGAAAATACTACTGCTGTCTTTCTCAGACATATCAACTTTCATCTAACAGAGTTCAGAATGTCTTCCCCCCAGGACGAGTTTTTACCGAGAAAGACCACATGACCAGATTTGCACTCTATAAAGCAGCATGAAGGAGGCAAGGCGAAGGTCAACAAGGCTGAAAAAAGGGAGAAACCATTGAGAATCAGGGTAAAATTAGAAGGGTCAGAGTCAAGGCCATGGCACTGGAACAGAGATGACAAGGCATTTAAGAAGTAAAATAGGCGAGAATAGTTCGCAGTAAGAAGGCAGCGAGGGAAAGGGAGAAGTCACAGAGGTGACTCTCGGGATGTGACTTGGAGGCTGTGTGGACAGTGATGTCCGTGTTTGAAAAACACAGGAAGAAGAGCAAATGGCCACAGAAAAGGGGTGTGTCCACTTGGGTTAGGCTGACTTTAAGGTACTGTCTGCTTATTCCCCCCCTTCTGTATCTTTTAGGACTTGGGTTTCCATAATAAAACTATAATCAGGATTCTAATTGCCAGAAGTGAAATAGACCTGCCGACCATAAGAAAACGATACAAAGAGCGATATGGAAAATCCCTATTTCAGGACATCAAAGTAAGTCATCTATACATTTCATCTCCTACACATTTTATCCCTTTTGAAACTGAGATGAAAGCTCTCATTCAAATAAATGCATGGTAGAGCTTGAAAGTTAAATGTTCAGATGGGGGTAATCTACTTTAGTCCTTGGCCTTCAGAACATCAACAGGTGCTAACTGAGAAAAGCCTGTCACCTCAGCAACAGAACCTATTTCCCTTGGGTGTGTTTTAAGCAAAAGCCTTGATGAAGGCATGCAAAATGCTCATTCTCTGTAATTGTGCTTTAAGTTAAATTCTGAAATATGACCAGGCTGAGGAAAACATTGTGCATCAAGACTACGTTCGATTTGAAGAGGTTTCTTAGATGAGTTCAGCTTTCCTTTCATACTGTCATAAAGTGCAGGGCAGCCAGTTAAAGAACATAATCCGGTAATCTGGAGCATGTGAACATTACTAGCTATGTGGGATTCTATGTACTCCTCATTCTTTTAGCCTTTAAGGGCGAAGAAGCAATGATTTACTATTGAACAAACTCATTTCTTCCTTCTAGTTCTTTTAAACTTCTAGATTTTGATAGAAGCTTAGGAGAAAATTATCAGAATATATAGGACCATCTATGTAATTCTGAGGGTCCAGTAGAAAATAAACACGCTTGGTCTCTTGCTAGATAGATCTATCGATGGATCAGTAAGCGATAAGGCTCCCTGGGCTGAAAGACCCTCAGACACTCCTGCCTTCCAGCCTCCACGCCACCTTCGCCTGAGTGCCAGTCCCCTTTCGTCTGGTGAAAGGTGAGTGATAAACTTTACTTTCTTCCATTTTCCTCTTTGTTGCTGTCTTGCATTATTTCCATGGTACCGGCCCACCTTGCCTCAGCTTACCCTTTCAAGTACTATACTGAATACTGCAGGCAGCTGTAACACAATGGTAAGTATTTGTGTATTAAAACATATATAAACACAGAAACTCCCAGAAGCCTTCACCGGTCACCCCCACCTCCACCCTGGGCTCTGGCTGGTCTGAGCAGTCAATCACTGAGCATGTATGTGTTGACAGCAGTTCTGAAACAGTCCAGGCTGGGAATCTGAGACACCAGGCAAGGTCAGAGGGTCCATCAGGGCCCAGCACAGAGGTCAGCTCGGGGCCTTCCATGTTCTACTCTCGCTGTGCTGCCCAGGCTGGCCTCAAACTCCTGGGCTCAAGTGATCCTCCTGCCCTGGCTTCCCAAAGTGCTGGAATGACAGGTGTGAGCCACCATGCCCGGTCCAATATCTTCATCTCTTCTCCACATTCAGAGAGGTCTATCTACATACCTCTTCCTCAAATTTGTCTTCACCCATGTTCCAAGTTTCGGACCATCCAGCCAAATCAATGGGAACGACCCATGAATTGACATATAATCTCTCATCCAGCAACTTCTCCTGCCCAGCAAAGTGCTCAAGCGGCTGCACTGCTCAGATTTCTGCCCGCTAGGAGGATTTCCCTTCACCGCTGTCCTGCAGGGACGTCCCAGAGCGGGGCTGGAGTGCCGTCACTGTCCGCTTTGGGGTGATGCCCACATATCCTGAGAGCCAACTGGAAACCAGGCCTGAGTCTTCTCCTCCTGTGTCACCAGGTGGCAGGGGCTTCCCATGAAGCCATAGGTGCTGGCGGGAAGCCTGAAGCAGGGGTGGGGACCATGGGCATCGGGCCGCCCCACGGAGCTTACTTGCAGCTTCAGGGGCGGCTTGGGCCTGGTCATGCATACAGCACTTTATTTGATGATGGAGTGCTGCTGTGTCCACCCAGCTTGCCGGTTCGGTGAGCCAGATAACACCCAGTTCATGAGCTCAGGTCACACAGGAATTTGCTGGCCCATGGCGAAGTGTTCGGTCTCCACTAGGGCCTATTCTGGGCCTTGCCCCAAACTGGCAGCTTTTGGGGTCACTCAGTAAACGAACTGGAATAGCACACCCAGATGAGGAATACGCTGCCTCCACAGCCCGGAGGCCCACTAGGAACTGGACCTCTTTCGCCGTTGTAGGAGAGGCCAGAGGCAACACCGTGTCCTTCACCTAGGAAGGGGTGTCTCAGCATGCCTCATCTTACCAGAACCCTAGAAATTCCTTTTTTCTTTCTTTTTTCCTTTTTTGAGTTGGAGTCTCACTCCGTTGCCCAGGCTGGAGTGCAGTGGCACGCTCATGGCCACTGCAGTGTCAACCTGCTAGGCTCTGGCGATCCTTCCACCTCAGGCTTCCAATTAGCTGGAACTACAGGTGCGCCCTACCACAACTGGCTAATTTTTGATTTGTTGTAGAGATGAGGTCTCACCAAGTTGTCCAGGTTGGTGTTGAACCCTTGGGCTCAGGCAGTCCACTCATCTTGGCCTCCCAAAATGCTGGGATTACAGACTGAACCACTGAGCCCAGTCCCCTTAGAAATTTCACCGAAGTATAAGGCTTCTGAATTCTGGTCAGATTTCTTTCCTTTCTTCTTTCTTTCTTTTTTTTGAGTCAGAGTCTCACTCTGTCACCCAGGCTGGAATGAAGTGCAGCCTCGTGGCCACTGCAGCCTCCTCCTGCTGGGCTCAGGCGATCCTTCCGCCTCAGCCTTTCAGGTAGCTGGAACTACATGCATGTGCCACCACACACCCAGCTAATTTTTCTTGATTTATTGTAGAGATGAGGTCTCACCAAGTTTCCCAGGCTGGTCTTGAACCTGTGGGCTCAGGCAATTCTCTCACCTTGACCTCCCAAAGTGTGGGATGACAAGCCTGAACCACCATGCCCGGCCCAGATTTATTTCTAATGCTGACACACAGATGTCTTTTTTTTTTTTTTTTGAGTTGGAGTCTCACTGTTGCCCAGACTGGAGTGCAGTGGCACGCTCCCGGCCACCACAGGCTCGACCTGCTGGGTTCCGGCGACCCTTCCGCCTTAGCCTTCCAATTAGCTGGAACTACAGGAGCAGGCTACCATGCCTGGCTAATTTTTTGATTTGTTGTAGAGATGAGGTCTCGTCAAGTTGCCCAGGCGGGTCTCGAACCCGTGGGCTCAGGGAATCCATCCACCTCGGCCTCCCAAAGCTGAGCCAACGAGCCCAGCCAATGCAGATGTCTTTTACCAAGGGGTCTAGAATGCTGGGTCCAATCAGCACAACATACATCATCAATGTAATGAACCACTGTGATATCTTGTGGAAAGGAAATCTTTCAAGATCCTGTGAACTGGGAAGGCTCAGAGGCTCACACCTGTAATCCCAGTGTTGTGGCCAAGAGTTCGATCTGAGAGACCACTAAGAGCCAATTCCGATGAAATTTCAAAAGGGTTTTTATTTCGCAAGCTCGAGCCTGGACCTCTGCTGGCAGCCGGTGCAGCCAAGCTCACACAGAGGCTCCGAGCTCTTCAAACAAGCAGTTTTTATTGTGGTTACAGAAGGGAGGGAGCATAGCGGGGGATTTCCAGAGTCCTTGGTACTTGATTGGCCCTTATGGTTCTAGCCGACCTCAGGTTAACCACGGTCTGTCAACTGGGGAGGTTGCTGAGACATTTGGAAACTTTTACAGATAACCTTTCAGTACTTGGCTGTCACTGGGGGATGTTAGTGGTAAGGGGCAGCTATAATTCGTGGTTTTTTCCGTAACTGAGGCTGGCTTCCTCTGAAACTGCAAGCACCTGCAAGCTGCGTTTTGTTGAAAGCTTTATGAGCTGAAATGGCTGTGCTATTGCTTTTTAACTGATTAACTAATAATAGAGTATGATTATGCCTTTTTGTTTAAGCTTATAATAATAATCATGGTCCATGCCCTTTCATTCCCCCCTTGTCATGAGAATGGGGTGAATTCAATCTTGGATTCTTAGGGCTAAGGCATCTAGGGGTACCTGCTCGTATTGCTGCCTGAGGACCATGAGTTGCACTGTGCTAATTCTGGCTTTTATAAAGGCTATTAATTCATTTAATATGCAGGGGCCAAAAGTAAGCAATAACAGAAGGATTAGAGGGGTCCCGCTATAGTGGACAATAAGGTAGTTAACCACGGAGACTGATTAAACGACTTTCAAATCATCCTTGTCTTTGTTCCCGTTCTAATTTCCATTTAGCTAAGCCCTCGCAGACTTTGGCCATGGACTCCTTTACAACTCCCGAATGGTCTGCATAGAAACAACATTCTTCCCCCAATGCGGCGCACAGTCCACCTTGGTGCAGGAACACTAAATCTAGTCCCCTGCGGTTTCAATTTGGATCTTTATCATGTCCCGGACATACATAAAAATACCAGTACCTGCCGCTAGTACCTCCCTGGGTTAGCTTTCGCTGCATAGCGGCAGTGTGATAGAAATGAGTTAGATCCCCGGTCATGACAGGGAACCAGGTGTTCTGGGGGGTTATTTTCAAGGCTTGCCAGATAATATTGTTTGTGGAGAGATCTATAACCTGCCAGGTTAAATTTGCAGGTTGGTGGGGGTTAGGGGCTGCACATAGGGATTTCCGCCCCGTCAGGAGGAAATAGAGGGAGAGGAGGTGTGACGCAGTCTTAGCTTTAGAGGATTGTCCTTGTCTAGTTGGCTGCTCCATTTGGGTGTGTAGTCTTTCAGCACAGCAGGGGTGTCAGCCGGTTTGACGTGGGTATGGTGGATCCAAGACGCGATGCCTTCCACCGTCAAGGCGGTGGGGGTGGACAGGATCACGACATAGGGTCCTTTCCACCGTGGTTGCAGAGTCTCATGTTGGTGCTGTCGGACATACACCCAGTCCCCCAGTCGGTAGTTGTGAGGAGTTGGCGGCAGTCCAGTTTCATAAAGGGCCTTTAATTTGGGCCACACCTGCTTATGGACCCTTTGTAGGGTTTGGAGGGAAAAAAGGAGTTTTTGATCATCTATATCAATTAACAATTCTGATTTAAGGTTAGGTACAATAGGTGGGGGTACTCCGAACATAATTTCAAAGGGAGTAAACCCTAGCTTATAGGGTGAATTGTGCACCCTATATAGCGCAAAGGGGAGGAGAGTCACCCAGTCCCCGCCAGTCTCCCGGACCAATTTGGTTAAGGTCTCTTTTAGGGTTCTATTCATTCTCTCTACCTGACCCGAGCTCTGGGGTCTATATGCACAATGTAGTTTCCAATCCGCCCCCAGTGCTTGGGCTACCCCTTGTATTACCTTGGAAATGAAGCTAGGGCTGTTGTCTGACCCAATCTGAACTGGAAATCCATCTAGGCATTAAATCTTCTAAGAGCTTCTTGGCTACTATTTGCGCCGTCTCGTTCTTGGTTGGGAATGCCTCTGTCCATCCTGAAAAAGTGTCTACAAATACTAATAAATACCTGTATCCATATTTTCCTGGTTTTACCTCAGTGAAGTCCACTTCCCAGTAAGCTCCTGGCCTGTTTCCTCGAAGTCTGGTGCCCGGATTCTGTTTTGGGGTCGCTGCATTGACAATCTTGCAGGTCTGACATTGGTTTACAATTCGATCAATTTCCTGGCGGGCACTGGGTATGATTATTTTTGCATGGCGTATTCATTGCTCCATTTTTCTAGCCCCTAGGTCGGTGCTTCAGTGCATTTTTATGAGCAGCCGTTGACCCAATTGTTCTGGAAGGATGACGTCCCATTGGTGGGGCTCCTCGTCCCAGTGTTGGATCCACCACCAGCCATCTAAAAACATAACTCCAGGTTGTTCATTTATCCATTTTAAGTCTTCTTCGGTGTAATTGGGGCTCTCGGGTAGATCCAGGGGCCCGGGGTCTGGCAGCGTGGTCACTAAGACATGGTCCACGGAAAGGGCTGCCTTTCTGGCCTCAGTGTCCGCCAACCGGTTTCCTTGCGCAACTGGCGTGTCGTCCTTCTGATGCCCCTGGCAATGCATTATGGCCAGGGCTTTAGGTAACCAGAGTGCCTGTAATAACTCAAGAATTTCAGTTTTATTTTTGATAGCTTTTCCCTCTGCCGTTAAGAGCCCTCTTTCTTTATAGATGGCCCCATGAATGTGTGCGGTTGCAAACGCATACCTGCTGTCAGTATAAACATTTATTTTTTGTCCTTTTCCCATTTGTTAGGGCCTTTGTGAGGGCTATGAGCTCAGCCCGCTGTGCCGAGGTCCCAGCTGCAAGTGGCGCTGCCCATAAAGTCTTAGTTTCTGTAGTCACTGCTGCCCCAGCATACCTGGTCCCATCCTGCACAAAACTGCTACCATCTGTGTACCAAGTTTCATCAGCATTAGCTAGAGGCTGGTCTCGGAGGTCTTCTCGTGTCCCATGGACTTGCGCCAGGATGTCTTGGCAGTCGTGCAAGGGACTTTCCTCATCTGGGTTGGGCAACAGGGTGGCTGAGTTTAAAGTAGCCGGAGCCTGGAACAGAATTCTAACTGGATTTAATAGGAGGCCTTGATAATGAGTTAACCGGGCACTACTGATCCACCGATCGGGTGGTTGTTTCAGGACGCCTTCAATGGCATGAGGAGCGGTGATATGTAATTCTTTTCCCATGGCAATTTTATCAGCATCCTTGACCATAGTGGCTACTGCTGCGAAGATTCGCAGACATGGGGGCCACCCAGCAGCCACTGGGTCTAGTTTTTTAGACAGGTATGCTACCGGCCTTTTCCATGGTCCAATTTGTTGCAACAGGACTCCCTTGGCTATTCCCCTAATCTCTCTACTTTCTGTAGTTTCCTTTTTATATCTGGTGCCGCCTGATTGACGAACGCCATGATCACAGCTGCCTTGGTTTCAGGCGCCTCTGGATCCATTGGGGTGTATTGATGGAAAGCTTCCATAATACGCTCCAAGAATGCGGCTGGACTCTCGTCCTTCTCCTGTCTTATGTTATATACTTTAGTCAGATTAGTGGGCTTGCGAGCAGCTGCCTGGAGACCTGCCATCAGAGCCTGGCGGTAGACCTGGAGCTTCTCCTTACCTTCTGCCGTGTTAAAGTCCCATCCGGGTTGGGAAAGAGGGAAGGCTGCATTTGTCAGGTCTGGGTTGGTGGTGGCCTGCCCATCTACTCCTGGAACCTGCTTCCTAGCCTCGGTCTGGATTCTTTCCTTCTCCTCAGTGGTGAATAACACTTGTAACAACATCTGGCAATCATCCCAAGTGGGCTGGTGGGTAAAAAGAACACTTTCCAGCAAGTTAATTAGGCCCCTAGGATTCTCAGAAAAGGCGGCCGTTTGCGTTTTCCAATTATATAAATCACTAGTAGAAAACAGCCAGTAGTGCATAGGCTGGTTTCCGGCCTCATCCAGAGGCCCGGCCACTCTCAATGGTAGGACCACCGTGGAGTCTGCAGCCCCTATTCCGGGGCCTGCCCCCCTGGCGACTCTTCGAGTCCCTGCGGCCAGCCCGTCCACCTCCCCTCCTGTCTTCTATCCCCAGCTACCCCTGGACCTGCTTCAGCAGCAGCGTTTTGGGGTTGTGGCGCCGGTGGAGCTGAAGGCCCTGGGGGAGCTAATTGGTATGGCGGGGGAGATCATTTCTTCTGCATTGTAGTCCGGGAGAACTGGGTAAAAGGGGTTCTTTGACAACTTATGGAAGGGGTTCAGCTTCTCCTGGGACTGCGACGGCTCACCTCCCAGGGGCAACAGAGGTTCCATCCTCCTTTCCTGCAAGGCAAGCATTTTCAATGTTTGGGTTGGGGTAGGAAGGCAGGGTTTTACCCAAGGGGGTGGGGATTCCAGTACATCTTGCCAGACCAGTATATAAGGCAGTTGGTCCGGGTGTCCCTGGGAGCCTTTCTGAAGGATGATGCTCTTAACCTGTAAAAGAACACTCGTTAGGAAAGTCCCTTCTCGTGGCCAGCCCACATTAAAGGTGGGCCATTCAGAGGCACACAAGTCCCGAAATTTCTTCTTGTGTATTTCCACGCTCAGATTGTGTGCCCTCTCCTTCAGTTCTGGAAAATGATCAGTCATAAGAGTTAACGGTGTCACCTGCGTCTGTCCCATTTCACTTGTCAGTACTAACGTCACAACAAACACAATTAACAAGACACACAAGAAAATGACAAAAGGCAAATGACAGCGGCCGCGAAAACAGATCTGAAAGGAAGCTAGGGGTGAGACAGATCGTCAAAGACTCTGTCCTTCCCCACAGATGAAGACCTCATCTTCCAGACGGGGTTGTGGGACGTCTCCCACAAGCCCCAGTCGGCGGCCTGCCAGCGCGTCTGCCTAGCCAATGCCGACCTCAGAACAGAGAGCAGAAGTGTGGTGCTCCACCCAAGATACTGAACACAAGCGCGCTTACCCGGGAGCGACTTACCGAGTGCCGGCCTGAAGACCCTCCAGACTGGGGTCTCCAGGGGGTCTCTGGGATCCCGGACGAGCCCCCAAATGTTGTGGCCAAGAGTTCGATCCAAGAGACCACCAAGAGCCAATTCCGATGAAATTTCAAAAGGGTTTTTATTTCGCAAGCTCGAGCCTGGACCTCTGCTGGCAGCCGGTGCAGCCGAGCTCACACAGAGGCTCCGAGCTCTTCAAACAAGCAGTTTTTATTGCGGTTACAGAAGGGAGGGAGCATAGCGGGGGATTTCCAGAGTCCTTGGTACTTGATTGGCCCTTATGGTTCTAGCCGACCTCAGGTTAACCACGGTCTGTCAACTGGGGAAGTTGCTGAGACATTTGGAAACTTTTACAGATAACCTTTCAGTACTTGGCTGTCACTGGGGGATGTTAGTGGTAAGGGGCAGCTATAATTCGTGGTTTTTCCTGTAACTAAGGCTGGCTTCCTCTGAAACTGCAAGCACCTGCAAGCTGCGTTTTGTTGAAAGCTTTATGAGCTGAAATGGCTGTGCTATTGCTTTTTAACTGATTAACTAATAATAGAGTATGATTATGCCTTTTTGTTTAAGCTTATAATAATAATCATGGTCCATGCCCTTTCACCAGCAGGTGTGGGAGGCTGAAGTAGGAGGTTCGTTTGAGCCCAGGAGCTTGAGAACAGTCTGGGCAACATAGCAAGACCCCAAAATAGTAAAAATTAGTAGGGTGTGGCAGCATGCCCCTGTAGTCCCAGCTACTCGGGAGGCTGAGGCAGAGGGATCCCCTGAGCCCAGGAGGTCGAGGCTGGGGTGAGCTGTGATTGTGTCACCGCACTCCAGCCTGGGCGACAGAGACCCCAACACAAGAAGAAACTAAAACCACACTACCACCACAGCAAAACAAATGAAATCATTTAATAGACTAAGAAGCATATGAAGTTGGGCAGGTACCAGCTGAAGAGAGAGGAGAAAGTTTGGAAGCCAGAGGTTGAAGCCCAAAAGGCCCACACATAGATGGTCACGTCTGCTGCGGGGAAGCAGCCCCAGGCGGTCGCCACGTGCCGGCCTTGCTATCCTCTCCCTGGTTCCCTCAGCCATGGCCGCAGCTGGCTGGGCAGGGAGAGCCCCTAACCACAGCCCCGAGGCACAGCCGGTCAGCAGCCAGGGAGACTGACCACGAGAGGTGGATGGGAGCACTCCCAGCCAGAGGCATGCCAGCCTAGAGGAGGCCGAGCCAAGAGCGGGTGCCCTGGGGTGACACCAAGTCCCGTGGGAAAGCGGGGAATCTGCTTTGGCTCCTGACGGGTCTGGGGCCATCACCGGGGTCCCGTACCCCCCCTTCAAGGCTTGGGCCCCAGCATCCTCAGTAAACCCCTTTATCCTGGGGGCCTCAGTGCATCCCTGCCCCGAGAACGAACGGTTGCAGATCCCCACTGGTGCACGGGCTCCGTTGCCTGTCCCAAGCTTGGGTCCTTTGAGAGCCAAGTCCCCTCACCTCAAAGGCCAGTTCGGTTCTCGCTTGTCCTCTAGGCACCGTAGGGTGGGAGGACATCTGTGCAAGAGGACATCTGCTGTCCCCTCACTGCTTTCCTGTGTCTCCCTTACACTGACCCCTCCACCAGGAAGGCCTCCTTGCTCTCATCTGCCCCCAAAAGCCAGGTCCTTCCTGGCATAGAGAGCACCATACAGACCCAGTCGAGCCCTCTGTCATGTGCTTCCTGCCAGCCTGTTGTTTGGGCCTCAGTCTGGCCACATGGACCCATCCATTGCCACTGGGGCCGTGGGTGTACTTCTGTGAAGCATGTTGCTGTCATCAGCTGAGATAAGACAACAACCAGCACTCCAGGGACGGGGTCAGGCACAGTTTGAGCAGACTCTGGTTGGCTTCAAGCCAAGCACAAAACAGGTTCTCGCCTTCCAGGCCGGGTGGCTGTGACACAGCTTCAAGTTCAGGCTGGGAACACAAGCTGGAGGATGAAACGAATGGTAGGAATTGTTATAATATGACAATGTCCATGAAAATACAGCTAGCTTTACCTGTCAGCCCCTGTGCCCAGGGCTGTGTGTGGACAGGTCATTGTCTCTTTCCTTTTGAGTTGGAGTCTCACTCTGTTGCCAGGCTAGAGTGCAGTGGCATAATCACGGCCACTGCAGCCTCGACCTGCTGGGCTCTGGTGATCCTTCTGCCTCAGCCTTCCAAGTAGCTGGAACTATAGTCGCACACCACCACCCACGCCCAGCTAGTTTTGGGGATTTAGTGCAGAGACGAAGTCTCACCATGTTGCCCAGGCTGTTCTCGAACCTGTGGGCTCAGGCAGTCCTCCCACCTCGGCCTCCCAAAGTGCTGGAATTATAGACTCGAGTTACAGTGTCCAGTTCTCTTTTATTTTTTTAGTTGGAGTCTCACTCTGTCATCTAGGCTGGAGTGCAGTGGCACACTCATGGCCACCACAGCCTTGACCTGCCTCAGTCTTCATGTAGCTGGAACCACAGGCATGTGCCACCAAGACTAGCTAACTTCTTGATTTATTGTGGAGATAAGGTCTCGCCAAGTTGCCCAGATTGGTCTGGAACCCCTGGACTCAGACAATCCTCTCGCCTCTGCCTTTCAAAGTACCGGGATTACAGGTGTGAGCCACCGCGCCCGGATTTATTGCCTTCTTGAAGCAATCCTAAGAGGTGAGGCTATTACTAACCACTCCACTCCACTCCACTCCATTGTCTCACTCTGTTGCCCAGACTGGATTGCAGTGGTACAGTCCCACTTCACTGCTGCCTCGACCTCCTTGGCTCAAGCAATCCTCCTGCCTCAGCTTTCCAAGTAGTTGGGACTACAGGTGTGTACCACCTCACTCGGCTAATTTTTCTGTTTCCCATAGAGACGAGCTCTATGTTGCTCAGGCTGTTCTCGGGTTCCTGGATGCCAGCAATCCCCTGCTTCAGCCTCCCAACCTACTGGGGGTGCAAATGCGAGCCCCCATGCTTCGGCCGATCACCTCCATTTTAGAGATGAGGAAATTGAGATTCAGAGGAGTGATCTGACTCAACCCATATCTGTGCTCAATCACAGTGAGTGAGACAGACAGACAGACAGACAGACAGACCGTGTGCAGATAAAGAGTGATATCTGCCTGTCTGCCATCTGTGGATGTCAGAGAGCAGGGCAGGGCTGATGCCCAGAGCAGACGGACGCTCTGACCTTGCCTGGGTCTCCGGTTTCCGGCCTGGATGATCTCAGAATGGCAAAAATGCCCACGTACACCATAAGTGAGAGCTGACAGCTCAGACCAGGCAGACTGTCCGGCTGGGGATGGGACCCCCGGAAGCTTCTGAGAGGGAGCCTGGAAGGGAGGGAGGTGTCCCTTCCACCCCCACACCTAGGCACCAGCTGCAGCCTGGCCCAGGGAGGCCCTGCCCCTCCCGTCTCTGCCTGAGCAACACACCCAGGCCCCCAAACGGCACTGTTTCTGGACTCTAAATTGCACAGTATTATCCCAGAGGACAAAAATGTCTTCTTCCCTGGCTGAAAGGCATATTTGTACCCACATATCATTTGCGCCCAGATATCATTGGTTCCCAGGTTTCAAACAAATATCATTTGTTCCCTAGGGCTGCGCAAATATCATTTCTTCCCCTGACCCACACAGATGTCATTTCTTCCATGATCCACACAGATGTTATTTCTTTCTCTGATCCACACCAATGGGTCATTTGTTCCCAAATTCACAGATGTCATTCATTCCCCAGCTCCATGCAGGTATCATTTGTTCCCCACTCCTTCAGATCGGAGCAGGTGAAATGGGCAGACCTGTGCCCAGGGAAGTAGGGTCAAGGCCTTGGAGTCCGCTATGAGAGGGGAGGCCCGCGTGTGCCCGTTTAGTGCAAGGTGGGCACCTCCCTCCCAGGCAGGATCTCCCACCCAGGCCTGATTCCTTTCGAGTCAGCCTCTGCCCTCCCTCCCATGTCTTAGCCTGTCCCCAGGCTTCTCCGCCTCTGCCTATCAGGTGATGACTTCAGTGATGTCACTTGTCCCTCCAGGGACCACAGGCGGTGTGGAACTCCCAGGGCTTTGGGACTTTTGCTTTCTCTTCCCTCTCTCTGCGTGACGCAGGCAGGGACTGGACCTGGGCTGTGGTAAGACTTTCTACTTTTTCACCGTCGCTTTTCTCACCTTGGCCACAGGCCCTGGAGGGCTCCCGCTCTGCCCCTGAGCCCAGTGGTCGATGTCAGACCTGGGTGGGTCTAGACCCCCTCCTCCACGGTAGGGCCAAACCCGTCCCCAGGAAGCTGCCACAGGGACTTTCTGCTCTGGTGGTCCCATCAGGGCTCCTCCCTCCTTTGCCCCCACCTCCGCCTCTCTCTTCCTCTCCTCTGAACAGGAAGTGACCTCATAAGCCAATTCAACTGGCAGTGATGGGAATATGGTTTTTCCAAAGAGTGGCTTTATTTCTTCCTTTTTGGTGGGGGTGGTGGGGGGAGTCTCCATCTGTTCCCCAGGCTGGCTGTAGAGACGTGGTCATAGCTCACTGCAGGCTTGAACTCCTGAGCTCAAGTGAGCCTCCCATCTCAGCCTCCCAAGCTGCTGGGACTATGGGTGTGTGCCACCATGCCAAGTTTTATTTTTATAGAAACGAGGTCTTGCTACGTTGTCCAGGCTGATCTTGAACTCCAGAGGGGAGTGTAGGAAGAGGGGCCCTCTTGTTTATGGGGGTCTTTCCAACCCTTGAAGGGTGCACAGACTGAAAACACTTGCCTACCCTGTGACCTACAAGAAAAGACCAGCTGTTTTTAGTGACTTTTTTTTTTTGAGTCTCACTCTGTCACCCAGGCTGCAGTGCAGTGGCACACTCATGGCCACCGCAGCCTCAGCCTGCTGGGCTCAGGTGATCCTCCCACCTCAGCCTCCCAAGTAGTTGGGACTACAGGTGTGAGCCACTGCCCCTGGCCTGGCGTCTCTCCTTATAAGGGCAC